GAACAGAACTATCCATCAGAAAAAGAGGAAAAACACACAATGACATAGTTGTGGGAACAGGAATCAGGTAAACTAGTGTTTTAAAGGAGGGAGGATTGTAGTGGGAGTACTGGGACGTCAGGTGCCACTGTGTGGCAATGGCAAATAGTTAAATGGCTCATGGGTCAGGTAGGAGGGCCTCCTGCGTAGGGCTCCAGGGAGGTCAGGACCGGCTCTGCACACCAGCCCAAAAAGATGTTTTCCCACAAGCTTACATTGGGCTGTATATTGGTAGATAACCAACTCTGAATTTGGTTCAGAATTTGATCTGTTCTTTTAGCTATATTCATAAAGTGGTTGTCTTTTCAACATAGACTAGCCTAGCATATAGCATATCTAAGTACAGGAAAGAAGAAAGTTGACCGAGGCTAGCTGTTAATTGTTATTGGAGCACAGAGCAAAAATGGGCAGGACTTAGGAAGGGTCAGTTGGTCAAGCCCCTGACTGCAGCACCTGTCAATCATCTTGATTGGCTGTTATTCCAGACTGACTCGTAGTATTTATAGTTGAACCTCTGGTCAACCTGGTTTTGACCACTAGTGGCTGTAGATAGATGATTTTATTTTAAGTTATTTCAGGTGTCTCATTCATGTTCCCAAAGACAATGTGAGGTGACAGACAGTGGGAGCTCAAGTCTACAAAACATTCTGGAAACTCATAAGGTAAGAAGTTTACCTTTTCGAAGATGCCAGAGTCGTGGCTCTTCATCTTGGACTTGAAGCTGGAGGAGGGTTTGAAGTCAGGGAGCTCAGCGGTGTCTCTGCTGATGTCACAGGAGACCTGGCGGCTGGCTGGTCTGGAACCCACGCTGGACAGATCAGCCTCAGTGTCTGTCAAACACTGCAGATGAAAATACACTTTATTACACACAGAGCACACACACACACACACACATGAGTATGTCATTCTCTTCAATATGATTTCACAGCTCTAAAGTATCTGAGCTTACCGATTCGCTGTCGGAGGCAGAGGAGAGACGGGACTTGCCGTTGCTCTGCCGCCTGAACTGGCTGCTGATGTCAGAGGTCTGGCTGGTCACAGTAGAGCGACGCGTCGACATAAAGCTGCTGCTGGCGGAGCGGAGGTCACGTTGACGGACACAGAGCAAGATGCCGAGACATGGGATGTACTTGGCTAATGCTAACCTGGACAGAGATAGGGAGATCAAGAGTTTGTCTCCAGCTGGATTGAAGTATTAATCAGTACTTTATGGGTTCAGGGGTCGACTTTACCATAAAAAAATGCTTCGATTCCCTCAACTAAGAGGACCCCTAACAGCCCACAGTCAAACCAGAACTTCCAATTTCTGCTCCAGAACTAAGAAACCCTGATTCAATATCACATTGACATTTGTGGCATTAACAGGTTGGATCATAACCTGTCATGTGGATTAATAAACACCATTTCCCATAAGCCCTAGATCCTAAACGCTACAACTCGACAAAAGAGGGGAGTGCATGGGAGTGTCTGTGGTCAACATACATTATTACTTTTTCTCTATTTTCATGAAAAAGCTATCTACTTTTCTTTCACCATGATGTTACATGACGCTGTTGTATAAAACAGATCTACAGTTATGTAAGCTGTTTTCTTTTATCCCGCAGCTTTTAACAATCAAGGTCAGGTGTCCTGCATCAAACCATCCTGTGTGTGTTTGGTGTGTGTGTTTGATTCTCTCTAGTCCAGTTAACATTCAGGTTAATTGAGCAGCACTTAGTTCAGATCACTTGTTAGAGTGCTTAAGGCGGCAGTGCTTTCTCTGATTGGATCAATTCTCCAACAGTGTGACGGTTCACTGGGCTGCAGTCACGTTAGCAGGATGAGAACAGACGACGCAACAGGCAGGTTAGCTGGAGCCTTTCATACAACTGAAGGTCATGAGGTGTCAAGCTCAGATACTAACACACAAACAGATGATCTATTATCCTTGTCTAAAATGAATGATGAATTTAGAGGGGAAGCTGATTTAGTTGAAATCCAAATGTTGATTTAGTGGTAACTGAACAGCATTTAGCTCTATAAGTAGGTATTAAGATAAGATAGACTTTATTGATCCCACACTGGGGAAATTCACTTGTTACAGCATTTAAAGTTAAATTATAACATTGCACAGGTTACAGAAGGAGGTAGTGGCATATTGTAGAAAAAAATTACACCAAACAAAAAATATATTATACAGAACTGATTTCACAGGGCTATGAACAGGACTAGAGTACATGTAAGAAATTATTTATGCATATATATGTATGTGAAGACTATACGGTAGTGCAAGCAAAAGAAAGTGACAATAGTATAAAAAATGACTATGGTATCGTTATAAAGTTTGATAGCTGCTGGGATGAAGATTGTTTATGTAATTGTTATTGTTTAATCGTGTGTGTGTTACCTGTATTTGGGGTGTGTGATGGCGTAGATGATGGGGTTGTGGATAGCCGAGGCTTTGGCAATGATGGCGGGCACAGAGTTCATGTAGGGAGTCAACATGTCCGCATACCTGCAGCAGGAAACACAACAACAACACAGTGAGGAGCCAGGAGAAAGTTTATGGATTCATTGCTCATGGACACTTCAGCACTATAAAGAGTTTTCGTGGACTAGCATCTAGTGGGCATTAGAGGAACTGCAGATGAAGTCTTGAAAATTTGAATTTGGTGGCTGTAGGTTTGAAAATGATTTAATTGCAGTTACAGGTGGCGGTTTGTTTTACCCAGCGAAGGCAGTGAGAGCAACACTGGAGTACGGTGACCAGGAGATGACATAGAGCAGGATGACGATCAGAGCGATCTTCGCCATTTTCCACTCGTTCTGCAGCCGGTGGAAGTTCTTCACTGAGTCACGAGTGCTGCCGTGACCATGAACGCTGCCGTTCATCTTCCCCACAGCCCTGAAAACACACACAGGCAGACCTGTAGTACTATACCTGTGAGGACATTGTAGACTTGAATTCATTTATCAGAGGCTGACCCTGACCTGAGGCTCTTTTTTATAATGATTTAAACTCTTTTTCTTTCTTATAGCCATTCTCGTATTCATGGGTTATGTTGCCAGTTGTATTGAGGAGATCCTTGCAGGTAAATAAAATGCGGTAACATCAAGTAACAACTAAGGAGTAATACAGTTATTAAAATTTTCAAGTATTGATTGTATGTTGGGAGAAAATCATCATCTGTTCACTAAATGCATCATGCATTGCTGGCTATATTTCGAAATTCATACTGTTACTATACTTTATACTGCAACTTCTTGAAAAGTAACTTTTTTGGCAATAAAACAACTCCTTTTTGTTATTAGAATGTAACTTGAAGTTTTTGTAACAAAAACTATATTTTCTACAGATTATGTGCACATAAAAAAACATATAATATATAATTCTATTAATTGTCTTTTAATATATAGTTGAAAAACACATGCGGTCCACCTGAGTAGACACGTGGAATACTCCTAGAAAAATGCATGCTTTAAAGGACCAGAGTGTAGAATTTACTGACGTCTAGGTGTGAAGTTGCAGATTGCAACTACGTGTGTAAGAGAAACTACAGTGGCCGTAAAATGCGAAATGGCCTTATCTTCAGCTGGTGTTTGGTTTGTCCATTCGAGACTACTGTAGAAACATGGCAGTTCAACATTGCAGACTTCATACCAACATACCTATGAATATTATTTTCCATTTCTGTCAATAGATCATCCTAAATGGACCTCTAAAAATTGTGTTTCATGCCTAAAGAGTAATAAAAACAAGGAAATAGACTGCAGTTAGTTCACTGTCTGTAATAACAGTAGGACGGTCAAGAAACTACAAAAAATAACCATAAGAAGAAAAGATAATATAAGGCCTTTATTAGTGGTCTATTGCTGGAGCGAGGGATTATCTTTTATAAGTTTTATACTGATGGTGGCGTCAGAGAAAAGGTCAAGAAAGTCAATTAGAAAATAATAAATAGAATTATAAATATCCAAAGGAATCTTGCTGAAGGATATTTTTCTGTCAGCTGACTAACTGAACACCATCTTTATATCTTTTTTTATGTTCCAAAAACAAGATATCTCTCTTTTCTTTTGAAACTATTAAAAATAGGTAGAATTGGTTGAAAAATCAGGAAGTATATTATAATTACAGTTGCGTAGGGATCCAGGATAAAAAACAATTCAACTAAACCGTTCCTTTTAACAATCCAGTTATTATTTTGGTGAAAATGAGCAACTAACACAAAGAGAAATAAACCACCCTAACTACACTGAACAAACACACAGACTGACTGGTTGGTGGTGCGGATGGCGCGGAAGATGAAGAAGTAGCAGTAAATGATGATGAAGAGCGGCAGGAAGAAGACGAAGATGAAGAGCAGCATGGTGTACGCTCGCACCGACGGGGTAAAGGTCATGTAGTCCCACGTACAGGAAGTCATCAGGCCCTCCGGGACATAGGCACCTGTTGGGCGAGAGACACAAGCAGGGAGGGTTTTAATGTCCTATCATGCTCTTTCAGGCGGGGGCCAGGGGGAGCCTGGACCCTAATATTTTACAGATATATCTCCATCTCCACCATTTTTCATGAGTTTCCTCAAGTGTATGAAACAGTGCCCCAATGGGTTGTAACCTCTGCTAAATGTCTTGTGTCAGGTCTTCACAGTTAGCTTATCCTGTTTACGGTAGATCTAAAATAATAATCTATACTTTAAAAACAACAATTTCATTTAGTTTTCTTCAAAGAAATTAATGGAATGCTGAGATATAGGCCTGCTTAAAAACCCCTTAAAATCAAGAAGGCCTTTTGACCCCCTGTGAAGCTTTGGTAATCCCCTGCCACTGTACCTGTATCAGAGTGTAAGATTTGTAGTAGGCACACTTACATATTTCCATTTGTTAAGAAAATACACAGGAAAAATGTGTAGGTAATACATCTACGATTGTTTTTGATGTAAATATGAACCTGTTGTTTAAAGATCACTGAGTGAATATGTGGGTTTATGATACTATAAAACTAACTGGCCCCTGTAAACCGTCACTTTCAGGAGGTTTTATGTTTAGACAATATAATTATTCAGAGGAAACATGCTCAAATCTGATGATACTTTAGATATTAACAATTTACTGCTGCTTAGAAGGTTCACAGATTTTATTCCCTACATTTACCCCCCACCAGATTTTCCATGAAACTGAGCGAGATTTATGGGAGCTTTTCTGTTTCTATACATTATAATTTACATAAAAATGTGAAAAACAAGTGTGATACAATCTGCTGAGGAGAATGAGAACCAGGTGAGAGGAAAAAGAAATGCACACCACATGTAGGGAGTGAACTTGAACTGAACTGTTTTGGGATTGAGGTGTTTTTTGGGATTTGGAGGGTAAATGAACAATAAGTTTGATAGAAGATACACAAAGCTTTGAGGCAGAGTTGAGCAGATTAAAGTGCAGCAGACATGTACAGTATAGATTTGCGTGGGCCATATCGCCTCAAGTCAATATCATGATTAACTGTCACGTTATCTTGCTAAGAATAAAATAAACAACATCTTGATAAAGGTTCTGTATGCACTGTCAGAAAATGTGTGGTAAGTGTGTCAGTAACAGTCAGTAACACAATAACTGCAGGAAGTTTGTGTAAAACGATTGTGTAAAGGGATTTGGAAGAATTTTGAGCAGATTATTTCCTTTGAATGCTGCAGAGATAATTTTTTTAAATATTTTTATACAATTTTTATGCAATTTTAACAACCATACATACATAATAGGCTTCTTTTTTTGGACAAATTCTGTGTTTTCTTATCATTTTCTATTAGGTCTTTGGTTGTTTTAACTTCTCTAATGCAGGATGAGGTTGTTTATGGCTCTGTGAATATAGCCTGTGTTCAGGTCTTAAATAAGTGTGCAATACAGTGTGTCCTCACTCCAGCCGAAGAACGGTGGCAGGCTCCAGCCCAGAGAGTAGGCCCAGGCCGCCGTGAGGATGACTAGGGCCCGTTTCCGTGACAACACGCCGATGGATGTCAGAGGTCGTGTGATGACAAAGTAACGGTCCACAGCGATCACTGTCAGCGTGATCATGGAGCAGATCCCGAAGAGAGCGCCACAGAACGCATACACCTCGCAACCTAAAGACAGCGAGAAGAAGAGTAGTTATTTTTATTTGATAATATATAGTAATGCTATAGAAGAAAATGCGGCCACTGCTCCAGCCCTAATAATAATATTTTTTCACTTTGGCATTTATCCCTTTAAATTCAAGTAATAAAAAGCAGTAAATCAGCATCTCCTCTACTTAAAAACTCTCTCTGTGGTATTAAAATGACCTCGGAGCGTTTCTCTGGGGAGATGGAGGAGGGTGGACTCAAATGCAAACACTGTTGTCTCTGAGCTATAACTCAGTAATTCACACTGTCATGGTGGGAAATGAAAAACGCTCTGAAAGACTGCAGGTGGAGAGAACACATAAGGATCATAACACATCCAATTTACCTTTCAGGGAATTTATATTTCTTTAGTAAACTTTAATTTCTTCTGCAAATGTTCCATACTCAGTTCCACAAAGTCCTTTCATTTAGTCCTTTTAAGAACCACAATAATGTTTTTACATGTTTTAACCCATTAAATGTTCCTTTACTATCCAATACCAACTACTGTCTTTAGTCAGTACGAAGGGAAAATTATATTTTAGTAAGGCAACAACATGCTAGCTTAGTCGCTAGTGGGGGATGCTCATCATATTCTCTTTGGGGTTGGTTGTCAGTGAGTGATAGTGAGTGAAAAACTGCCCCACTGTAAGTTGTCACGGTTGAGGAATTTAGCTATAAAGACCACAACAGTTTTTTATACCAGGCTGTAAACAGTTTATGGAAATTGACTGGAGCCGGCCTCAAGTGGCTGTTAGAGGAACTGCAGTTTTTGGCACTTCTGTGGCTTCATTTGCAGCCATGGAGGTTGCTGCTTGGTGACTACAAACCCCATGATGGTTGTTGGTTGGTAGGATGGTTGTCCCAAGAGCTTTTGAAGAGAATAAGCTTAAGGAGAGTAAAGTTACGTCATTCCTACCTGACACTTACTTAAGTTTTTTGAAAAGGGAACATATTAAGGATACAGTTTTGAAGGATTCAAATCAAAGTAGAATTGTGACAACCAACCCTGTTCCCCCCTACCACATGATGATAACAGACAAGAAAATAGAAGCGTCAAAATATTTTCAAGAATAAGTCTAACTGATCTGAAATCAGCGGCTGAAAGTGTTTGTCAGTGATGCCTTCAGGTACCTTTCTCTCCAAAGATCCACCTCGTGTGCATGCTGGTGATGAAGAAGATTGGTGTCTGTGTTACACACATCAGCAGGTCTGTGATTGCCAAGTTAATGATGAACATGTTGGCTGGCGTCCTCAAGCTGCGACTCCTGAACACACACACACGCACACAGTTTTTTACCCAAAGATCTGGTTCACTTTTGATTAAAAGTGAATAAATTTTTATGGTTGTGTCATACATATAAGTAGCTAGACAATATCAGTTTGTACAAAGCAGCTAATCCCTCTGCACAACCCTGCAGGAAGATTACATATTTCTGGATTTGAATACAGCCACTGACACACAGACTTGCAGCTCATTATGCATCCATGACTCAGAAAGGGGGCAGAGTCCTGAACTCAGACCCTGACCTGCTGCCTGGGTCTGAGTTGCTGGTTGAGCTGCTGGGTGATGCCCAGAAATGTCCCGCTCACAACAAAATAACAATATTTTATAAATTGTTTTTCAAGAAAATCAAAAACACATCAAAATTAAATTGACATTCCAGTTTTTGCTGATTTGCACACCCGATTTATTCAAGCCTTTTCATGGAAACTTCATCAGCACAAAACAAAACTCACAGTCACAGGTCACACAGTCGGTTTTCCTCAATAAAGAGGAAGGAACAGCAGCTCTCAACTGTAACACTAACTTTAAAGTATCTTTAAATTCTGGATGAATGAGATCTAAAGCCAAGTTCAGACCAAAGATTCGCAACGAGACGAGTTGAAACTTGCAACTACTTGCAATGTGCTGGTCTGCAACACTGACAACTTTTGTCTAAAAGACTCTCTCTACTTCTGCTCTGGATATAATTTGTAGCATCCTAAAATATAAAATGAGGATAGTGATTGTGAGTTATTTGCTACTGTTCCATCTTATTGATGAAACGATAAAAACTTTCAGTAAATTTTCCCTGTCCAAAACCATTTCAACCGACTGACTTGAAATAGGCAGCATGCATTATGTAAGTTCTGAAAGGAGATTTGACAAGCTGAGTTGAGTCGAGTCGAGCTGACACAACAGTTCACAACCTTCTACAGCTGTTTCGTCTGAACTAAGCTCAACATGTGATTCAGGCCCAAACTTTAGTTTGCTCTGCACACATGTCCTTAACTTTTGGCTTAGACAACATATTTTCTTCAATAAAAGCTTATTTTGAATAATCTGAGAAGTGGTGAAGAGGTTTTCACATTCAGCTTTAGGTTGACGAGCAGGAAGTTGTTGTTCCTTACAGGTGAGTGGCAGCCGGAATCAGGGGGTTCCTGACTACACCAGCAGGTGTCAGGACGCTCTGAGGTTCAGAGTCTGCTTTAGAGGATGAGAAAGAGCCGAAATCTTTTAGTGCTGCTTCAGTTCTAAATGTAACATTTAATCAATGCAACCCCCATCATGGAGCAGTTCTGACTTTAATGAAAGATCAATATCTGCCCCATAAATGGTCCAATCAATATGTGGGTCGAACTCATCTTAAGTGCTAAAGTTTCATCAAAAGAGTCGAGAAGACATGCCGCTCTGGTTTCAGAGAAAGACTTTTCTGGGTAGTGACGGAAGATAAAAGACTCAGTGTGGGGTCGATAAAAACCAGACATCATTATAGCCGGAGGACGGACAGACACACACAGGTCCTCCTCTTCTGCTTATCACAGCAGGAGATTAAACCTCAGTCTCAAAAGCACTTTACAGCTCAACTCCGAGCCCAGCACATCACACCAGTGTTTCCTCCACAGGTAAGAACAAAATCTCCGTCCACCACACAGCCACGACAAAACTTGATCATTCTCCCATTTGTGGATTATCTTTACTTCGACAACAGGAAGGGATAAAACCAAATTGTTTCAGTTTGTGCAGACTGACGTCAACCTGTCAGCCGTTCAAACATTTCAAAAACATTTCATGGGATTACAGAGAAAGACTGTCGATACTTTCTCATCATTTTCTACATTATTGTATCTTGTAATTATCACTTTACATCATGTGCGTGAGAAGAATCTCTAAAATCAAACCATTGCTAACCTGGAAGAAGTTATCCATGTCTTAATTTCATACTGTGTGGATTAACTCTCTATATTCAGCACTAAATAGTCTGCAATTGGTCCAACATGCAGCTGCTCGGCTCTTAAACACACCACCACAGCTTTAGCATCCCTTCACTGGCTTTCCATCACTTCCAGAACAAAACTCTATCACCTACAACACGGATTATCTCCAAGCTTTATCTCTGTCCATTTGCTGTCATTGTCCCTAAACTGTTCCCAATCTGCACAACTACTCCTGCGTTTTCTTTTAAACACTAGCTAAAAACACATATTTTTAAACTGACTTGTATATTATGTCTAATAGACAATATATCATATATCAAATATATCTGCTTTTACTTTTTACTATAAGATTTTATAACTGTCTGTTTAATAACTGTCTCTTGTCCTTTGTTAGAGCTCTTAAGCATATCTGTGTGTACATGTGACCATATTGCAAGTATTGTGTATTATCCAACACGTTTTCACTCCAAACTTCACAATCAGGGAACCTCGGTCAAGTTAGAAATAATAAATATGTAACCTTTTCGCTCTTTATACTACATCACCTGACTTTGATTGCAGGTGCGTTCAGAAATAATGACAGGATGTACCTACGGCGTCATATTTCAAAGGAGAGGGCCACTGACCAAGCAGCAGTATTTGAATTTAATTATTTTAAATTGGGGTGAGAATGGGTTGCCTGAACTCAGAGTAAGGATCAGAGACAGAGCACAACTATATTTGGGCACAGGAAGTTATCCTACTTGCAAAAGGCATATAAGACCAGGAAGTTCCCGATCGTGCCGGTGATGCCGATGGCGAGGATGACAGAGCCGATGGTGTAGTGGGCGTGGTCAGGCACATCCACAGTGGGAAAGGGGTACGAGGCCTTGGGCACCATCGCCGCCTGGAAGACAAAACAGGAAATTACATGCAAATGTGACTATGAATTATGAACCACTGTACAGTGTCTGATAAACCTTGTTTAGGGCGCCCCCTGTTACTCGGGCACCCGGTTAGCTCATTCGGTAGAGTACGGAGTTGCTGCAGCGGCCCAGGGTTTGAATCCGACCTGCGTCCTCTGTTCTGTTCATGTCTTATCTTCCCCCTCTCTGGCCTTCCTGTCTGCTCTTCGGCTGCTCACTATCCAATAAAAGGCCCAAAAAAATAACTTTTTTTAGAGGTGGTCCTTGCCCACGGCAGTGCCTGTTCTCAGCTGTCCTCCCGTGTGTGTGTGGACAGGGGTCCGTGAATCAGTGAAATGTGTGGATTTGCAGACTGTGTGTCTGTCAACAGTGAGGCACAGACAGATCCACGTTATTTACGCTTGCCTTAAACCCCTGGTACTCCACTGAATCCCTGGGGTGAACAGCCGAGAACAGGCACCAGCTGTGGGCTAAGGAAGCCTAATATTACTCTACACTTCTGTAGTTATCAATTAAACAGATTTGCAGACTGGAGTCTCTGAAGTCCTCACTGAAATGCATAATTATAAACTATGATGAAGTGATGTGTGGCACGTCTGTTGCCAGGAGTAACCCAAAGTTCACTTCCAGCATCTTTAATTTTAACTTAAAAATGAGGAAAATTACTTGTTATCGGCAGTTACTCAATATGCAATGACTCAGTTCGGGGGCAAAAAAACATCACTATATGAAAAAACGCAGATTTTATTCTTTATTCTTAGAGAATTACCAGAAGGAGCTAAAAATGTAATGCACATTTGTTGCAATGGTGGCGTTAGAGGACAGGTCACTAAGATCCACAGGGCTCATTCTCAGGAGCAGGACTGAGATCAACTACATAGAAATCTTTACAGTATTGTGGAGATATGTTGTGTATGTGTGTCCAAAACATTGATGTATTAATTATTACGTATATAATTATATACGCCAGATGCTGGAGCATATTCATCCAGCCAGTTGATTTTAAAATTTTGAATCTTTCAGAGAAGAAAAAATATTCAGCTGCCGTTTTAAACTTGCTGCCATGAAAGACTAATCATTGTTTTAGGGCATTTGCTGAAGTGACTTTAAAGTATAAGTAGAGATTAAAAAGTCCTTCATATCGATTACATTATTATTCCACGAGTTGAAAAACCATCACGTTGCTGGACCTCGCTAATCACCAATCACCTCAATTCCTTTTGAAAGAATAATATCTCCCCTTCATCACTGTTTCTAATTACCGAGCCCTGAGCTCCATCTCTCTGTCGGGTCTCAGATCTCTTTATCCCATCTCCCGGTTGCCACGTTAACGGCATAAATTACTACCCTGCCAGCAGAAATATTAGGCACAGCTAATCAAAGATGGAGGTCAGTCAGAGGAGCGACCAGTTTGATTTGAATGAGAGCAAAGAAGTTTTCATAAAAATATTTGAAAGATTCGATAGACCTTGGCAAAGCAATAGACTCTTACTTTACCTGTCTCTCCTACATCCTACCTAAGTTTATCTGCAGTTCAGTACCCAACCTTTTTCCATACCATATTATCTAGAATTATTCCAGTGGGATATTGTCTGTGGTTACATATTTACATCTGGATATAGGGTGTAGGGAGTGAGCATATAGTTAAATTTAGGTAATAAATAAATAAATAAATAAATAAAAACACAGTAACACATGCAGATTGCGCAGGCAGAAGCATCCTATTATGGGTGTTGTGTTTGTGTTTCCTTATGCTCGATGGCAGACACTGTGCATTCTCATTATACACCGCTAGATTCATTCATTAATTATGTAAATCTTTGGACACGACACAGGCAATTTAACTGTTAACTGACCTTGTGTGCACAGTTTATACAGTGAAGTCATTCACAGAAAACCAGTTGATCCATTTTGTTTTGAGACTGAATGACTGAACTTTTCCCGCTGGAAAAATAATGACATAAGACACAGACATTAACTGTACAGTTTGCAGGATTACAACTGGTGTCGGTATGCACACCACCAGCAGCAGCAGCAGCAGTATAATCAGCTCACAGTCAGTCACATCCTCATCTTCCAGTATTTAGACTTCCAAAACATTTTACCATATAGATAGATCACATTTAATTAACTTTGAGACTAAAATTGATTTTCTCCAAGGGCTCCAAGGCGTTAATTAACATCGTCTTAACTTGAACTCTTCATACGTTTTCTATCTAGTTCATCAGGGACGGAGGTCAGTCAGAGCAGTTTAATTTCACTAAGAACTTGAAGAAACTGAAGCTGTAATAAAAACACTATGGAGTCTGTCACACCAGTAGCCCTTTTTCATGTACTGGCTTGGCTCGCCTCGGTTTGATGGTAGGGATTTGCATCTCCATTATAACAAGGCTCCCCGCTTGAGAGTGTGCGCTCCTTTCTTGCACCATTCTTGGCTTTTTTTTTTTTAGACTTGACTTACCTGTAGCGGTGCATCTCTGTGTGATCGGCCGCTTACACTTTAAAGACATAGAGGGTGCCCGATGGTCGAGAAAGCTCAAGACTGAATGAAGAAAGGGACTGGTGTTGGCTAGAACAAAGCAGTGAATCAAATAAATAAAACGTTATTTTCTGGGGCCTTTATCGCCTTTATTGACACGACGCTGATGATAGACAGAATGATAGAGATAGATAGATAGAGAGAATGTAACGCAGAACTTTAATTCATGTGATGTAAATGTTTCTGAGTTGTTTCAGCACGTTGCCATAGTTATAGAGTTTGGTTAAAAAAGTTCAGGCCAAGTGTGATTAAACTCGAGGCAAACCATTTGTGCGTGAAACAGTTTAACACACCATCCAGCCAATCAGAGATCAGAATCCGTGTGGATCCGGTACATGATGCTGATGCTTCACGTCTCCTGCAGTGACCCATAAAACGAGAAGTCACATGCAGCCCGCTTTGGTCTAAATGTGCATTAAACTGCTCAGAGCTCCAAACAACAGTCAGCGTAAAGAAAGAGGAACGAGTGAAGGACGCGGTGACATTGATGGAGTCAGACATGTTGTGACAAACAAACAAACATGCTGCCTTAGGGCCACACATCCATCTGACTGCAGCTTTACAGCTTGAATCAGCAGCAAAGTCATTTTTAATCAGAACTGAAACTCACACTTTGATTCAGTGTGAATTTTCTTGAAGCCTTCAGTCATGTTGGCTGTACAGTCGCTTGTTTGTGATAAATAATGCAGAGGCTGTACGAATAAAGCCTAATTTCACCTCAGATTTATAGAGGTTAATTAAAAAAGGACTATTAGCTATGTAAAGATATACTGGAGTCATGGTGTCCTGAGCAGAGGAATAGAATAGACCTTTTTCAATATTTACCAAAAGAGATGCACAATATGGATTTTTTCCCATAATGATATACATTTTCCATTATCAGCTGAGGATTTATCTGCCCCGATAATTATCGTGCATCTTTTTCCAGTCATACTGATTAGGGTTCTGTTCCATTCAGGCCAAAGTCAGGGTGCTGCTATTGTGCATGTTGGCTCACTGGAAAGGCTCTGCTACACTAAATAGAATGAAGCCTTAATTAGTATTACTATAAATTATTATTACTATTTCATGTTAAAATGCCGGCTGGAAAAAAAGGAATAAAATTGTGATACAATGCAATGATATGAGGTATTTTTATGCAATGAAATTGCTAGAGAAAGTGAAAATTGCAAAAATAGTTGTAGTGATGATGAAGATGACTAATTATCATCATTATTATTATTATCATTTTTTGTATGATTCATAAAAAATAGAAGGCAACTTTTTTCAGTGAGAATAAAACCACACTGCATGGAGGATAAATGTGAGACTACATGTCTGCGTGGTCTGCAACTAGCAACTGCAACTGCAACAACTAGACACAAGGAAGTGAGTTTGGTGTAGTATTGCTCAATGTCACATATTTTAACAATTTTTCATATTATATTCAATGCATAACAAGAACAGTAGTCTACAGAACAACAACAAAAAGCCTCTGTACACTAACTGCTCAGCAGCAAAGTGCAGGCAGACACAGTTGGAGATTGGTGTTTGAGTTGGTGAACACAGTGGAGCATTTAGCAGCTAAAGAACCAGAGATTTCCCTCAGCTGTTGGTGAAGAGCAAAAACAGAGGGAACACTCTTCAACTCTAAGTTCAATACTCTGTTGCTGTGGGAGCTGCTGCTTAATAGGAAAAAAGTGCTTTGTATCCAAACGAACATCTCCTCTGGGACAAATGTGGGACATAAAACTGCGGGAGGATTACTGAAATGGGTGACGAGGGACAGGAATAGGCAGCATGGCACTAACATCAGTGCATCACATTCATTAAAAACAAGTTTGTATGCATATTTACACATACATAAATGTTCCTACAGTCTGTGGCTGTTTCTGAGCATCATTATCTAAATCATTTCCATCTCGTCAGCAGCGAGTGTTTCATTTGGTGTTTTGCTGCGAGGTCAGAGATCTGTCACCACATTAACTCTGGCACATTGAGAGGAGCATCGCCTATCACGAAAGATTCAGCATTTCTGCTTCGCCCACCACCGCTGCGTTTGACTCAGGGACAACCAGTCTGTCTGCCCCCATCCTCACATCCCAACAGATGTCGCCACATCTCTCCACTCTCCTCTCCTTTTCAGTTACTAATTGTAACACATTTAAACGGAGAACTGATGACTATTTGAAGAATTATTGTCAGCTGTTTTCTTTTGGTCTGAAATGTCCTGCCGCAAAAGTGATTCTACTTTCACCTGTTACAAGTTTTATTTCCCTTTTAAATATAATTTTAAAAAACACTTTCCAGACATATATATATGTATACAATTAGTCTGCTTGGAACAATGTGTGTCTGATATATTTTTCTACACAAAAATGGTCTGGAAATATGACAAGTGTTAGTATAAAACTGTGACTGTTGTAGTACTCTATATGATACCATTAGATTATTATGTAAATG